GCTGGACACCACTGCAAACAGACTGCTTCCGTCCTCTTGACTTCCGCCCTTAAGATATTTATGTTGCGTGGAAATGAGACTCCTGAAACCGAGACGGCTGAGAGAGGAGGTACTGCTTTATTCGGTGCCGGTGCATGGTGGGAGTCCACAAATCAAGCACACCAAGCTTAGATTTTACTCCCTTATTTACACATCGGAAATGCATTTTCCACACCTATCTAATACATACTGGCCTGTCTTCACACACTCGTCTTCTTTGTTTGGCAGTCTAGTCGCCTGACTATTAAAGCTATAGCAGTCTTTTAATTAACTGCACCTTTGTATGGGGGGGGGTGTATTTTGTTCCTCAGTTGGGTCACGATCTCCCCAGTGGTGGTGACATGCAGAAACAGGCTCCCCAGTCTGTAAGATTGTACAGTCGGTATGTTTATTCAGCGCTGGGCAGCACGGGGGGCAGTCCCACCAAAGTGAAGTGCACCGCAACACGGCAGCTTGCCCTGTTTATATGTAGCAAAGTGTTACATATACATGAAGTTTCCCAATACGCCTATACATAGGCATAGCCTGTCCCCGCTTCATAAGTCCCTCCCGACTGCGCGTGCTCAGTGATTTGAGTCGGTGGTCTTCAGGGGTTGTTTACTTCACCCACTCCTCTTCTTCACCTTGTCCTTTTGGTGAACTCCAGCTTCCACACCCCTTATTCCACTGTCAGAACAACACAGCCGGTACCAGCTGGCTCCCCATCCTTGGCCATCCTCATATCGACCTTGGCTATCCTCATATTGGCAAAATGTTAGACATTTTGTCCCCTACCTGCCTTCCAAGGCCTGCAACAAAGGTGGGCCATTTCCTACTAATCTCCCCTCTTCCACATTCCCTACAGTGTTAGTTTCTTATCTATAGTTTACTTCATATAATTAGTAAGTTAATCTAAAACACAATGCTAGCAATTTAAGGTGGATCTACAGTTGGCTTCACACAGGTCCTTTTGTTAACCCTTTAGCATCCCTTCACTGGAATTACCTTTCACCCAGTTTCCTTCCACCTTGTCCATGTTATCTCGGAATGTCCGCAACCCTCTGTAGGGCTTTGCGACAACTTGCTTTGATGACACCTGAAGTGATTTGCTATGTCCATCTGTTCCATTAACACTGACTTGTTCTTTATGTTTAATTTTGACCCAAGGACAACACCGAGGGTGACACTGTGCCGGCTGCACGGGCCTGGGAGCAGCTCTCTGCCTCGCCTGTGGGGTCATGATGTTCCCCTCCTTCTTCACTGTACCACCGAAATGGCAGTGTTCCCATGGTGGTCTCGCCTGCTAGTTAACAGAGTTATGTGCATATGGTTGTTTTCTATATGGTCTTGTTGAAACACGTGCGCCCCTCGAGCGAGCATGCATCTGCGGGTCATGGAGGCACTTTGAAAAGACTAACCCTCTTCCAGAGAAGTTTTAACTTCTTTATTGCAGGGGTGAAAGGACTGTGGCCCTTTGCAGGCACCAGTGCCTCCCAGTAGGTGTCACCGAAATCTGGAAGAATGAACCTCGTTAACACCAACATAGTGTTAGAAGGCAGGCATTCTTTATTCACGGCGCCGGATGCACAGGGGATCGCTCCACCTAACGTGCATACCATCAAGTGGCAGCTTGCCCGTTTATATGTAGCAAAGTATTACATATGTATGAAGTTTTCCGATATGCCTATACATATGCATAACATATCTCTGCTTTGTATTAAAATTAGCTTCAGGAGGTCATTTCCATAAGTCCCTCCCCACTGC